TGGGTACAGTACAGTACAGCTCAAAACATACAATTGTTAAGGGGATGCAGACCAGAGAAAGACTTTCGTCTTGTTTACATCAGGGTCCCCCATTTCCAATTCATCATGTCATTTAAGACATATAAGACATATTTGACATACAGATGGCTTATTTACAATTTACATACAGGTGGTTTTTTACATACAGATTGCTTGTTTACAATTTTCATTTTAGATTTCGTTCTAATACATCCTAACCGGACATTTAAGACATACCAAGTCTACAGATATACAGTTAGTAACAGAGTCTAAAATGCGAGTATATACATAGATGGGGGGGGGAAGCTGTCCATTGAACGACAGGTTGAGATTTGTACCATTACCGGGGCCAGTTTTGCAATGCTCTCCCCCGAAGGTGCTCTTTAAGAGAGGTTTTGAAGGTAAGTATAGTTTTACTTTCCTTTACAGTTGTGGGAAGAGCGTTCCACCTTGATGTGGCATCATTGCGAAACGTGTATTCCCCCTTTTTTGTGCCAAATCTGGGTTTCACATGATTTGTGGAGCTCCCTCTGGTGTTATGATCATGGTATTCCTTGACCTTTGGGAAGAATTTTGACATGTACATGGGTACCATAGAGGTGTAGTGGATCTTGTAGACCAGGCCCATTGCAAGTAGCTGTACTCTGTCGTCTACTCTAAGCCATCCTAGGTTGTCAAAGTGGGCAGAGGTGAGGTGGGTTCTAGATGAAAGGTCAAGCAGTAGTCTGACCAGTTTATTTTGCGATGTTTGAAGTTTTATTTTTAGCGCCTTGGAGGTGCTATGGGACAATCCCCACAGGAGCAACGACATGCTGACTGCAGTGGGGTTTGAACCTGTGCTTCCCTGATCCCAACATCAACGCACTACTCCACTGCGCCACAGCCTCCCATAATATTTAACCTTTTAAATTGAATGAAAAAAGGAAATGGCTTTCACCCAAAAACAACAATTTCACTTGGAGAGGACTTTCCTTTTCCCCATTTATATTTTAAACATAGAAAAACAACATCAATCCAACTTGTATACAATTCTCGAGCATGTCGTTTTGATACAAATCATAATTTAAAAGTTCAGAAATTGAAAGTCTGTCGTCCAATTTACATTTTCTATTGTCTACAAAAATATTTTTAACGCTGGTATTCTTATGTTTCAAAATACATTGTTTCGTAAATTAAGAAATAACACTTTCAGTTGATAATGAAAAATATATATATTGCAGAGCAGAAACAGGGTTAGATATTTTTGTCCAAAAATGTAAAATGTATTCTGCAATCATGAGCATATAATTGGACAGTGTCTAACAAGAGCTTGTTGAAGTCTTTCCTTTTGAATAATGCCTTAAAGGGGACCTATCATGCAAAATGCACTTTTTGATGTCTTTTATACAGCCGGTGTGTCGGGGAACTCACGCAGCGTCAGGAAATAAAACCCTCTCTCTTTTCCTCCGTACCCAAATCTCTAAAAACGGGGAACAACGGAGCTGATCCAGATTTGCGTCGATATGACGTAATATCTGAAATGTGGACCCACGGGCCCAATCAGAAACGTTGCTATCAGAAACAATGCCCGACTACTTTGGACGTAATATGGTCGGTGTTTACATTAGCATCGCTAACACTCAGAGCTAACCTGTACTGGAGAGCATGTGTGTGAAGAAGCAGGAAGTAAAAAGGAACTCACCTTGTGGTATAACCGGCAAGAGAGAAAGCCTTTGAGCTCCAAACTGTTTCAGAGAGAATCCTTGATGATCCATGATATGGCGTTTCATCACGGCAGCATTTAGTTTAGACAGTAGCTGCCGGGTCCCGCATGAGCTCAGACCCCTCCTCTTTAAAGCTTTATAGCCAAATCAGCACTTTAGAAACAGGAAGTGAAACAGAGGGATATGAGGCATGGCTAGAATGATCTGTTTGGTGTTTGGAGCAAAACACTTCATAGACATGTTCTTTATATATTTGTATATCTGAGACCTATGCTATTGCCTACAAATATCATGAGGTGACCTTTAAGTTAGCACTGGTTTTAGATTTCCCTATGTTCATCCTCCGGATCCCACATTTTAGGGTATATTATTTTATTGTTTTTACTTTCTTTTTGTTGTATTTGATCCTTTTTGTAATACTTTATTTGTATTTCACGTTCTACCATGTTTTTTAAAATAATGTTATAGTGAATTTAACTTAATTTGACAGTTATCTATGTTTATTATTCTGTAAAGCTCACTGAGGAAAACGTGTTTTGTGATATTTAAATGTAATATGTTTTGGGTTTTTATTGGCAGAAATTCCTCAGTAACCACTCCAACAACATGTACTTTTTTTTAGATGTAGTAACTCATTAAATAGTAGCCTACAGATAATCCTCATTTCCCTCAATATTATTATTATTTCCCGTCCTTTGTCTGCCTTGTAGGGTCCTTCTCACTTCGGTTAAATGGATTCCTTGCGTCCCTCACTTACGTCGTTTCCCTGCGACTTGTCCCTCCCACCAGGGAAGCATGGAGAGACGCAAGGAAACTACGGCCCTGTCTCAGGTCGACTATTTTCATTTCCTCGCTCCTCGGTCTCACCGGAAGTTGATTTGTCTGCGCCATCTTGAGTACCGTCCCATGGCTCTTATTTCTGCCGGAGGAGCGAGGAGCGATAATGGAGGAGCTATAACCGAGGAACCACCAGACCATCCTCCGATGAAATCCGCAGACACTCGCCCCGCCCCCTTACTTTGTATCGCTCACTGATTGGACGAGACAGTGCATGCACTGATCTGATGCTTCTTGACATGAGAGCAGTTTCCCAGCGGAGTGAAGAAAACACATGAACCTCACGGGACTCACTCCTCAGTTTATACCGTGTTTGGTTTCAATTAATGTTTCATTTAGTTACAAATAGGTGATCTGAACAACAAAGTGGTCAAAAATCATTTTATTCATTTATTGGAAACATTTTCATGATCGCTTTTTTCGTTCATTTATTGTCATTTCCATTCAGTCAGTCATTAAGTGCTATTAAAATGTTAATTTGCTACATATCCACACAAACAAACAAACAAAGTGTGCAATCCAATGAATGTTAATCTAACTGGGTTTTGATAGATAACATATCTCTTTTTCTACTCTCAATTATTTTATTTCTATTGTGCACTCTGATCAATATTAATCAAACTATTGTTCGTTTATACATTTTAAGAATGGCGTTTATCTTTTTTGAGAAAGAGTTCTTATTTGATTTTATTTATTGGGTCTACAACAGATGATACAAATGTTAGCGTCAGTAAATGTGTACTAACAGAGGCGGGGGGGTGTGTGGGAAAATAACGGGGACAGAGTTGCTGCCAGACGAACAGTTGTGCAGCGTCATCACAAACGGACGTCACTTCACGTGACGCTCCGGAGGAAAGGACGTCCCATTGCTCTTAAAACTCATTTCCCTGCTTCTCGTGGTTTCCTTGCGTCTCTCCATGCTTCCCTGGAGGGAGGGACTAGTCGCAGGGAAACGACGCAAGTGAGGGACGCAAGGATTTCATTTAACCGACCTGAGACGGGGCCCACGAGAAGCAGGGAAATGAGTTTTAAGAGCAATGGGACGTCCTTACAGTCTCAGCTCAGGGAAACAAACTCCCTGTTCCCTCGCGGAAGTCTTGTCATGTGACTCCAGTTTAGATAAACAGATGTCACATGATTCGCGCTTCATTTCTCGACATGGCGGCCAGATGTTTGCATCTGGCTGCTCTCCTCTCCTTCTTCTCTGGAGCTTTACCTTTTCCTCTTGGACCAGAAACAGGAAAGTCTCCAACCTGCGGATATGAGGTCAGCCATGTTTCCTTTTGTGCTTGTTTTTTTAATTATTATTTTATATCTCTTACTTTTTAAGTTCCCTAAAGATGAGCACTTCCTGCAGCTTTCACTTCCACTCATCCGCATTCTTGGGTTAGGGGCTCAGGGTCTTCTGTTCCAAAAATCACCAATTTGAAATTAACCATACAAAATTAATATTAGGCTCAGTTTTATTTTCATTAAATTGCATAACTTTCGTATTCAATATGAGCAGAGGTGTAAAGTAACTAAGTATATTTACTCAAGTACTTGAATTGAGTTCAATGTTGAAGTACTTTCTTGAGTATTTCCATTTATGCTACATGGTACTTCTACTCCACTACAGAGGTTTCTTTTACTCCAGTACATGTATTGAATATCTTTAGTTACTTTATATAAATCATATTCCTTTATTGTACTTAACAATGTTTCTTATTTTCCCATCACTGAAGTCCGTTTGTTTGAGGAACTGATTTTATATTAAGAATAAAAACAGAAAGAGGAAATATTTCTGCTCTAAATGTATTAATAGGATGTCTCTACTTACTGTGTGCCTTCCCTAACAATAGAGCAGTGCAGTAGATGTGTCCTCAGTGTGTGTGTGTGTGTGTGTGTGTGTGTGTGTGTGTGTGTGTGTGTGTGTGTGTGTGTGTGTGTGTGTGTGTGTGTGTGTGTGTGTGTGTGTGTGTGTGTGTGTGTGTGTGTGTGTGTGTGTGTGTGTGTGTGTGTGTGTGTGTGTGTGTGTGTGTGGTGTGTGTATATAGTCCTGTCATGCCACACAGCCGGACATGCTGAACGTGCACCTGGTCCCTCACACACACGATGACGTGGGCTGGCTGAAGACCGTGGACCAGTACTTCTACGGAGGTCAGTGACACGCTGGTGGTGCCGGGATCAAAACTTAACGTAGAAACTGACATGAGACGTTTCTGAGTCTCACAGCAGGGGTGCAAACACATTTAAAAAAGCAAACATTACAGGAACCTAGTTAAAGGTTGAGGTCAAGAATGTGTGGAGAAGCTTTCATGACCCAAACTAAATTTAAGAAACACTAAATAGTTGTAATTGTTAAATACTAGGGATGCACGATAATTATCGGCCCGATATTAGGAATTATGACGTCATCCCGATAAACCCGATACCAGTATTAATAGCCAATAGTATTAATATTAATATTATTAATATATAATATTAATATACAATATATTTTTTGGGGAAAAAAAAAAAAATACTGCGGTGTGGGTGGATTGGGATGAGGGGCGCTTGTTTTTCACTCGGCTCCTCCCGTTTTGCCAGTACTGTGGTATTAGTGGTTTAGGAAGAGGGGAGTTCTTCACAAATCCAGCGCTCCCTAACTCGTGAAGCCAGGACAGTAAACAAACATGTCGTCGGTGGTATGGGCGTTGGAGCTATGTGCAACTCAAGGCATATGCTCGAACGGGAGCTGCCTGGACGCTGCAATCATGTTGCACTATCCGTGCTGAGTGTGCTGACTTTTCGTACAATGTCCCACTGTCTGGCTTCCTGCATAAAGTCAAGTGCTCGGCGCAGTTGTGGCGAAATGTCGCTCCTCTGTTTTCATTTAAACAGCTCCGTATATCCGTTAGCGCAGCTAGCTAGCACCAGATGCTAACAACAACAATGCACGTAAGGTCTCTCTCTCGCTCGCTCGGGCCACACATGCACACACCCTCCCGGTCCTCCAGATGGCCAGTCGGTGCCTGCCGGTGAGCGTGGAAGTGTGGTCTGCCACAAGCAGGCGGCAGGAGCGGGGCTGTCAGCATCAGCTTGTAGATGGTATTTTAAACTCGATGCGCTCTGAAACTACGGGGCGGCCGAGGACAAAAAATACACATGCGTTATTCGCGTTAAAATAATTAGTGGCGTAATTTTTTGTATTATCGGGTATCGGTATCGGTCTTGAGAAGCAGGAAGTTATCGGTATCGGTTTCAAAAAACCAATATCGTGCATCCCTATTAAATACAAATTAACCTTTTAATTCAAAACCCTGTTGTTACACTGTAGTATCATAGGGGGGAAATAAATAACAAATGCACACACACACACACACACACACACACACACACACACACACACACACACACACACACACACAGACACAGTCATCTATCCCTATACAGTGCAGATGATTACATAAGCACACTCACAGATGATGGTCACCTGCATGGAGCACACGGTCTCTCTCACTATAAACACACCTGAACGACCCTGGGACTATCAAAGAGTTGTATCGGTGTGAGTGGAAACACAGAGCATTGAAGTCATGTGACAGGACTCTAAATGTCCTCGAGATGCCGAAGGAATCATCTCCAACACGCCGTTTCTCATCTGATCAGCTGCTATAAAACACCTGTAAAAGGCTGAGGCTTTAAATGAGACGAGGTGTGTGTGTGTGTGTGTGTGTGTGTGTGTGTGTGTGTGTGTGTGTGTGTGTGTGTGTGTGTGTGTGTGTGTGTGTGTGTGTGTGTGTGTGTGTGTGTGTGTGTGTGTGTGTGTGTGTGTGTGTTTAGACCGTAACGACATCCAGCATGCGGGGGTGCAGTACATCCTGGACTCGGTGGTGGACCAGCTGCTGAAGAACCCCGATCGGAGGTTCATCTACGTGGAAACGGCCTTTTTCTACCGCTGGTGGAGGCAGCAGAGCTCCAGCATGAAGCAGACCGTGAAGCAGCTGGTGGAGGAAGGTGAGAACAACATTTACTCTGAAAGACTGGCTTCATATTCACAATCCCTGCCCTGATGTAACACTCACAACATTACAGACTGTAGGCTGCTGCTCACGGAGAGATAAGCTCCTTCCTTCCTGCAGCGGTCAGACTATGGGCCCTTTCTCATTTCATCAAATCCCCCTCCTCGACTCCTCGACTCCTCGGTCCTCCGGTAGTGACCCGGAAATGAATTTCAGCGCGCCATGTTGAAGGACATCTCATTTCTCTCAATGCACTTTGAGGACCGAGGATCGAGCGTCGAGGAGGCTCTCTGGAGGAGCTCTAACCGAGGATACACTACGCACTACGCTCTGCATCAGCCAAACGACTCGTTGCGCCCTCGCTGCGAGGGGGACCCAAGTTCCCATCGGCGAAAACACGTGGGTTTGCTATCCTGGCTCCAAGATGGTGGAATGAGCTCCCCATTGACATCAGGACGGCAGATAGCTTGCACATCTTCCGGCGCAAACTGAAAACTCATCTCTTTCGACTCCACTTCGAGCGTTAGAACGATAACGAAGCACTTTTATACCAATAAAGGACTGGATTACCTAAAGCCAGTTGAGTAGCACTTGAAATGTTTGGCTCTATGAAACCTGATATACTTATATGATTCTGTTTTCTTCAAGGTTGTGTCTTCCTGGTCGAATGTACTTATTGTAAGTCGCTTTGGATAAAAGCGTCAGCTAAATGCAATGTAATGTAATGTAATACACTGATGGGTCCTCCACGGTCCTCCACGGCTCCTCCGTAGATGCATTTCCGGCAACAGAGGTTTTTCAAAGAGGCGTGACGCACGGCCGGACTTATCTCAGCCAATGACAGCTCTGCATGCATCCCCTGGATATTATTTTATTAACTGCTTTCATCGCGACGCGATGTTTCCAGAGAGAACAGCTGTGAGGTCCGTGCAGAAAGCAGAGCAGTGTGTATAATATATATCACTCAGTATAACAGGCCTACTCTCTTTATTTGCTTTAGTTTAGTAGATATCTACAAACAAAGAGTCGATATTTTTCTAAAACCATTTAGTGCTTCACATAATAAAATACACAACGGCTGTTAGCTGTAGGTGTGTGTGTGTGTGGTGTAGGTGTGTGGTGGTACAGTGTGTGTAGATGCAGCGGACAGACAGGTCTCAGTTGGTTTGGTGTCCTCTGCTTACTTTTAATACTTGTAAATAAACTTTTGGCCCGTAATTTATTTTCCTCATTGTAGCGACCAGAGAGGGGGGGGGGATATATCCAGTCTCCGATAGTGTTACGTTATTATGAGAGTGCTCTCATACTTGTTTGATTCTGAAATTGTATATACATAAATATATGTGTGTGTGTGTGTGTGTGTGTGTGTGTGTGTGTGTGTGTGTGTGTGTGTGTGTGTGTGTGTGTGTGTGTGGTGTGTGTGTGTGTGGTGTGTGTGTGTGTGTGTGTGTGTGTGTGTGTGTGTGTCCGCATCTGTAGCCTGTTATTGTCTCATTATACCGCACTGTGAATGAATCAAAGTAAATATAGAAGTGGTCATGAACACATCTGTCCATCAGACAGAGGGCTGCTGAGCCTCCTGTCATCATTAATGGACGTCTCTTTAAAATGACCGCTCAGAGGAGAGGAGTTCTCCTTTCTCTAATCACCTGCTGCTTCCCCTCCTCTCTCCTCGGCTCCTCCGCTCGCATCTCCTGTGGGCGGGCCTAAGTATCGAGGATAGGAGTCGAGGATAGGAGTCGAGGAGGGGAGTTAGAGAAATGAGAAAGGGCCTATGTAACCACACACACACACAGACTATAAAACACCCCTTATTGTGAAATACAAATGATGTGCAATATGTTCAATATATATATACAAGCCGTAATAACTATGCAATATATACCTGGCTGCCCTCTTCTTTAGAGAAGACCAGGAAATGATGGATACACGGATCGTGTTCAAACCAATAGGCACGCAATGACTCTAAAGAATAATGATCACGCATCAAACACACATTCAGACTAAAGGAACCAGCTGTTTGGAAAATGAGAGAAGTAGAAAGTACAAGTATTTGAGTTCAACATGTAAGAAGTAGAAAGTACAGGTATTTGTGTTCAACATGTAAGAAGTAGAAAGTACAGGTATTTGAGTTCAACATGTAAGAAGTAGAAAGTTCAGGTATTAGTGTTCAACATGTAAGAAGTAGAAAGTACAGGTATTTGTGTTCAACATGTAAGAAGTAGAAAGTTCAGGTATTAGTGTTCAACATGTAAGAAGTAGAAAGTACAGGTATTTGAGTTCAACATGTGAGAAGTAGAAAGTACAGGTATTTGGGTTCAACATGTAAGAAGTAGAAAGTACAGGTATTTGAGTTCAACATGTAAGAAGTAGAAAGTACAGGTATTTGGGTTCAACATGTAAGAAGTAGAAAGTACAGGTATTTGGGTGTATTTGAGTTCAACATGTAAGAAGTAGAAAGTTCAGGTATTTGAGTTCAACATGTAAGAAGTAGAAAGTTCAGGTATTTGAGTTCAACATGTAAGAAGTAGAAAGTACAGGTATTTGGGTTCAACATGTAAGAAGTAGAAAGTACAGGTATTTGAGTTCAACATGTAAGAAGTAGAAAGTACAGGTATTTGAGTTCAACATGTAAGAAGTAGAAAGTTCAGGTATTTGAGTTCAACATGTAAGAAGTAGAAAGTTCAGGTATTTGAGTTCAACATGTAAGAAGTAGAAAGTTCAGGTATTTGAGTTCAACATGTAAGAAGTAGAAAGTTCAGGTATTTGAGTTCAACATGTAAGAAGTAGAAAGTTCAGGTATTTGAGTTCAACATGTAAGAAGTAGAAAGTACAGGTATTTGAGTTCAACATGTAAGAAGTAGAAAGTACAGGTATTTGTGTTCAACATGTAAGAAGTAGAAAGTACAGGTATTTGAGTTCAACATGTAAGAAGTAGAAAGTACAGGTATTTGAGTTCAACATGTAAGAAGTAGAAAGTACAGGTATTTGAGTTCAACATGTAAGAAGTAGAAAGTACAGGTATTTGGGTTCAACATGTAAGAAGTAGAAAGTACAGGTATTTGGGTTCAACATGTAAGAAGTAGAAAGTACAGGTATTTGAGTTCAACATGTAAGAAGTAGAAAGTACAGATATTTGAGTTCAACATGTAGAAGTAGAAAGTTCAGGTATTTGTGTTCAAAGTGTAAGAAGTAGAAAGTACAGGTATTTGAGTTCAACATGTAAGAAGTAGAAAGTTCAGGTATTTGTGTTCAACATGTAAGAAGTAGAAAGTACAGGTATTTGAGTTCAACATGTAAGAAGTAGAAAGTTCAGGTATTTGAGTTCAACATGTAAGAAGTAGAAAGTACAGGTATTTGAGTTCAACATGTAAGAAGTAGAAAGTACAGGTATTTGAGTTCAACATGTAAGAAGTAGAAAGTACAGGTATTTTGGGTTCAACATGTGAGAAGTAGAAAGTACAGGTATTTGAGTTCAACATGTAAGAAGTAGAAAGTACAGATATTTGGGTTCAACATGTAAGAAGTAGAAAGTACAGGTATTTGAGTTCAACATGTAAGAAGTAGAAAGTACAGGTATTTGAGTTCAACATGTAAGAAGTAGAAAGTTCAGGTATTTGTGTTCAAAGTGTAAGAAGTAGAAAGTACAGGTATTTGAGTTCAACATGTGAGAAGTAGAAAGTACAGGTATTTGTGTTCAACATGAGAGAAGTAGAAAGTTCAGGTATTTGTGTTCAACATGTAAGAAGTAGAAAGTTCAGGTATTTGTGTTCAACATGAGAGAAGTAGAAAGTTCAGGTATTTGTGTTCAACATGTAAGAAGTAGAAAGTTCAGGTATTTGTGTTCAAAGTGTGAGAAGTAGAAAGTACAGGTATTTGAGTTCAACATGTAAGAAGTAGAAAGTTCAGGTATTTGTGTTCAACATGTAAGAAGTAGAAAGTACAGGTATTTGAGTTCAACATGTAAGAAGTAGAAAGTTCAGGTATTGAGTTCAACATGTAAGAAGTAGAAAGTACAGGTATTTGAGTTCAACATGTAAGAAGTAGAAAGTACAGGTATTTGGGTTCAACATGTGAGAAGTAGAAAGTACAGGTATTTGAGTTCAACATGTAAGAAGTAGAAAGTACAGATATTTGGGTTCAACATGTAAGAAGTAGAAAGTACAGGTATTTGAGTTCAACATGTAAGAAGTAGAAAGTACAGGTATTTGAGTTCAACATGTAAGAAGTAGAAAGTTCAGGTATTTGTGTTCAAAGTGTAAGAAGTAGAAAGTACAGGTATTTGTGTTCAACATGAGAGAAGTAGAAAGTTCAGGTATTTGTGTTCAAAGTGTAAGAAGTAGAAAGTACAGGTATTTGGGTTCAACATGTAAGAAGTAGAAAGTACAAGTATTTGGGTTCAACATGTAAGAAGTAGAAAGTACAAGTATTTGGGTTCAACATGTAAGAAGTAGAAAGTTCAGGTATTTGTGTTCAAAGTGTAAGAAGTAGAAAGTACAGGTATTTGTGTTCAACATGTAAGAAGTAGAAAGTTCAGGTATTTGTGTTCAACATGTAAGAAGTAGAAAGTTCAGGTATTTGAGTTCAACATGTAAGAAGTAGAAAGTACAGGTATTTGAGTTCAACATGTAAGAAGTAGAAAGTACAGGTATTTGGGTTCAACATGTGAGAAGTAGAAAGTACAGGTATTTGAGTTCAACATGTAAGAAGTAGAAAGTACAGATATTTGGGTTCAACATGTAAGAAGTAGAAAGTACAGGTATTTGAGTTCAACATGTAAGAAGTAGAAAGTACAGGTATTTGAGTTCAACATGTAAGAAGTAGAAAGTTCAGGTATTTGTGTTCAAAGTGTAAGAAGTAGAAAGTACAGGTATTTGTGTTCAACATGAGAGAAGTAGAAAGTTCAGGTATTTGTGTTCAACATGTAAGAAGTAGAAAGTTCAGGTATTTGTGTTCAAAGTGTGAGAAGTAGAAAGTACAGGTATTTGTGTTCAACATGTAAGAAGTAGAAAGTTCAGGTATTTGTGTTCAACATGTAAGAAGTAGAAAGTACAGGTATTTGTGTTCAACATGTACAAAGTAGAAAGTACAGGTATTTGGGTTCAACATGTAAGAAGTAGAAAGTACAGGTATTTGAGTTCAACATGTAAGAAGTAGAAAGTACAGGTATTAGAGTTCAACATGTGAGAAGTAGAAAGTTCAGGTATTTGTGTTCAACATGTTAGAAGTAGAAAGTACAGGTATTTGTGTTCAACATGTAAGAAGTAGAAAGTACAGGTATTAGAGTTCAACATGTGAGAAGTAGAAAGTTCAGGTATTTGTGTTCAACATGTTAGAAGTAGAAAGTACAGGTATTTGTGTTCAACATGTTAGAAGTAGAAAGTACAGGTATTAGAGTTCAACATGTAAGAAGTAGAAAGTACAGGTATTTGTGTTCAACATGTAAGAAGTAGAAAGTACAGGTATTTGAGTTCAACATGTAAGAAGTAGAAAGTACAGGTATTTGAGTTCAACATGTAAGAAGTAGAAAGTACAGGTATTTGGGTTCAACATGTAAGAAGTAGAAAGTACAGGTATTTGGGTTCAACATGTAAGAAGTAGAAAGTACAGGTATTAGAGTTCAACATGTGAGAAGTAGAAAGTACAGGTATTTGAGTTCAACATGTAAGAAGTAGAAAGTACAGGTATTTGAGTTCAACATGTAAGAAGTAGAAAGTACAGGTATTTGAGTTCAACATGTAAGAAGTAGAAAGTTCAGGTATTTGAGTTCAACATGTAAGAAGTAGAAAGTACAGGTATTTGAGTTCAACATGTAAGAAGTAGAAAGTACAGGTATTTGAGTTCAACATGTAAGAAGTAGAAAGTACAGGTATTTGGGTTCAACATGTAAGAAGTAGAAAGTACAGGTATTTGGGTTCAACATGTAAGAAGTAGAAAGTACAGGTATTTGAGTTCAACATGTAAGAAGTAGAAAGTACAGATATTTGAGTTCAACATGTAAGAAGTAGAAAGTTCAGGTATTTGTGTTCAAAGTGTAAGAAGTAGAAAGTACAGGTATTTGAGTTCAACATGTAAGAAGTAGAAAGTTCAGGTATTTGTGTTCAACATGTAAGAAGTAGAAAGTACAGGTATTTGAGTTCAACATGTAAGAAGTAGAAAGTTCAGGTATTTGAGTTCAACATGTAAGAAGTAGAAAGTACAGGTATTTGTGTTCAACATGTAAGAAGTAGAAAGTACAGGTATTGGGTTCAACATGTAAGAAGTAGAAAGTACAGGTATTTGAGTTCAACATGTAAGAAGTAGAAAGTACAGGTATTTGGGTTCAACATGTGAGAAGTAGAAAGTACAGGTATTTGAGTTCAACATGTAAGAAGTAGAAAGTACAGATATTTGGGTTCAACATGTAAGAAGTAGAAAGTACAGGTATTTGAGTTCAACATGTAAGAAGTAGAAAGTACAGGTATTTGAGTTCAACATGTAAGAAGTAGAAAGTTCAGGTATTTGTGTTCAAAGTGTAAGAAGTAGAAAGTACAGGTATTTGAGTTCAACATGTGAGAAGTAGAAAGTACAGGTATTTGTGTTCAACATGAGAGAAGTAGAAAGTTCAGGTATTTGTGTTCAACATGTAAGAAGTAGAAAGTTCAGGTATTTGTGTTCAAAGTGTAAGAAGTAGAAAGTACAGGTATTTGTGTTCAACATGTAAGAAGTAGAAAGTTCAGGTATTTGTGTTCAACATGAGAGAAGTAGAAAGTTCAGGTATTTGTGTTCAACATGTAAGAAGTAGAAAGTTCAGGTATTTGTGTTCAAAGTGTGAGAAGTAGAAAGTACAGGTATTTGTGTTCAACATGTAAGAAGTAGAAAGTTCAGGTATTTGTGTTCAACATGTAAGAAGTAGAAAGTACAGGTATTTGTGTTCAACATGTACAAAGTAGAAAGTACAGGTATTTGGGTTCAACATGTAAGAAGTAGAAAGTACAGGTATTAGAGTTCAACATGTGAGAAGTAGAAAGTTCAGGTATTTGTGTTCAACATGTTAGAAGTAGAAAGTACAGGTATTTGTGTTCAACATGTAAGAAGTAGAAAGTACAGGTATTAGAGTTCAACATGTGAGAAGTAGAAAGTTCAGGTATTTGTGTTCAACATGTTAGAAGTAGAAAGTACAGGTATTTGTGTTCAACATGTTAGAAGTAGAAAGTACAGGTATTTGAGTTCAACATGTAAGAAGTAGAAAGTACAGGTATTAGAGTTCAACATGTGAGAAGTAGAAAGTTCAGGTATTTGTGTTCAACATGTTAGAAGTAGAAAGTACAGGTATTTGTGTTCAACATGTAAGAAGTAGAAAGTACAGGTATTAGAGTTCAACATGTGAGAAGTAGAAAGTTCAGGTATTTGTGTTCAACATGTTAGAAGTAGAAAGTACAGGTATTTGTGTTCAACATGTAAGAAGTAGAAAGTACAGGTATTTGAGTTCAACATGTAAGAAGTAGAAAGTACAGGTATTAGAGTTCAACATGTAAGAAGTAGAAAGTACAGGTATTTGTGTTCAACATGTAAGAAGTAGAAAGTACAGGTATTTGAGTTCAACATGTAAGAAGTAGAAAGTACAGGTATTTGAGTTCAACATGTAAGAAGTAGAAAGTACAGGTATTTGGGTTCAACATGTAAGAAGTAGAAAGTACAGGTATTTGGGTTCAACATGTAAGAAGTAGAAAGTACAGGTATTAGAGTTCAACATGTGAGAAGTAGAAAGTACAGGTATTTGAGTTCAACATGTAAGAAGTAGAAAGTACAGGTATTTGAGTTCAACATGTAAGAAGTAGAAAGTACAGGTATTTGAGTTCAACGTGTAGAAGTAGAAAGTACAGGTATTTGGGTTCAACATGTAAGAAGTAGAAAGTACAGGTATTTGTGTTCAACATGTAAGAAGTAGAAAGTACAGGTATTTGGGTTCAACATGTAAGAAGTAGAAAGTACAGGTATTTGTGTTCAACATGTAAGAAGTAGAAAGTACAGGTATTTGTGTTCAACATGTGAGAAGTAGAAAGTACAGGTATTTGTGTTCAACATGTAAGAAGTAGAAAGTACAGGTATTTGTGTTCAACATGTAAGAAGTCAAAGTAAAAAGTGGTCAGAAAAATAAGTAGTGGAGTAAAGTACTGATACCAGAAATATGTACTTAAGTACAGTAACAAAGTATTTGTACTCCACTACTTCCCACCTCTAGATGGGCCTCTTTCCAGTAAACTAAATGAATAACTCACTAGCATGACTTGAAACTCATGATTATATAAAACAGATTCTACAGTAAGAACAACAAGTAAATGTACTCTGAGGGAGCTTCATATCCTCTCCTCCTTCAGGGCGTCTGGAGTTTGTGAACGGCGGCTGGTGTATGAGCGATGAAGCCACGACCCACTACAGCTCCGTCATCGACCAGATGACCTTGGGGCTTCGCTTCCTCAACGAAACCTTCGGTCTCTGCGGTCGCCCCCGGGTCGCCTGGCACATCGACCCCTTCGGACACGCCCGGGAACACGCCTCCATGTTCGCTCAGGTACATCTGAATGCTGCCATGAAATCAGAATACATGTTGAAAGGTATGATAGGTAGCATTTCAGCACTGCACATGTTATATTGTGTTGAGTTGTGCACGTGCATTATCCCCAAGTGCTTCCAATAACATCAAACCCGTATATATATTAATCCAGTTTACAGTCAATGTTGGTTCGTCCATCCTTCGTGCATGCACATAAATCTGCTTTATTCAGTTTTTATATTAGTTTTTATATCCCAGGTTTGCTTTGAGAGACCTCTCTGGATGATTCTGCTCCTTGTGATGACCTCTTTGAACGATAAAGCAATCCTCTCTATTCTATTTTACTGCTCACCTGTAGCTGAATGGTTGCTCCACAGACCAGAGAGTGGTCTTAAGTGTGTGTGTGTGTGTGTGTGTGTGTGTGTGTGTGTGTGTGTGTGTGTGTGTGTGTGTGTGTGTGTGTGTGTGTGGTGTGTGTGTGTGTGTGTGTGTGTGTGTGTGTGTGTGTGTGTGTGTGTGTGTGTGTGTGTGTCAGATGGGGTATGACGGCTTCTTCTTCGGGCGTCTGGACTACCAGGACAGATCTCTGAGGATGGCCACTAAGGAGCAGGAGCTTCTGTGGAGGGCCTCCGAGAGCCTCACCCCCCCCATGGCCGACCTCTTCACCGGTAACACAACATTTCATATTTTTCCATTTGGGGTTTTGTGACTCAGTCTGTCACTTTCGGTTAATCTCACCTTTCTCCCCTCTGTAGGGATCCTTCCCAACGGGTACAACCCCCCGACCGGCTTCTGCTGGGATCAGTCCTGTGACGATCCACCAATCAGAGACGACCCTGAGCTGGAGGACTACAACGTGGACGACGTGGTGAACCGCTTCGTCGCCATCGCCAACAGTCAGGTCAGAAACATCTCTTCATTTGACAGTTGTTTTAAACCATTACTGAGGTCATAAATCAGGTGAGAACTAGCGAAATTCTTTCATAGACTTCCATAAAATCGGACCACCCGCTGGCCATTAGAGGTACTGCAGCTTTAAGGCATTTCCGCATTACGGTACGTCCACACGGTTCCGTCGCGTTGAAGCTTGCCGGTGGGCGTGTCTGGCGCGCGACCAACAACCAATCACATTAATCTCCCGCCCCCGGACACATAAGCACGCGGTTTGATTGGCTAGCGCTTGTACTGGCATAGGATTTGATTGGCTGGCGCTTCCGTCGACGCTTGAAAAGTTTAACTTTTCTCAACTTTCGAAGCGAGCAACGGAGGCAAAGCGGCGCGACGGAACCACAATGCAGTTCGGCAAAGCGTGACGTCACCCCATTCAAAGTGAATGGGAAGCGTCTCCGTTGAAGCGCTGCCGTGTGGACGTTACATTCGGTGAACTTTTCAGACCTTTGGGACGAACCTTGATCTTATTACCCTTTTTTACATTATTATTTTTGTACAATTTTTTTCAAGCCTCAGTTTTATTGTGAATCATGTCATGTTGTACTAATAAATATATCTAATCTTTAAGTTCCTTTATAAAACTATTCCGTAGATTAGTCCCTTTGACGGTTTGATATCTTTGCTTTCCCTTTTCTTTGAAAGGTTTTTCTTGTAAACACGCACATTCTAGTATACGTATAAACTAAACTCTTATTGTAAAACGCTTTGGATTAAAGTAAAAATGTATAATGTTGCCGTTCTCCTCCCTCAGTCTATGGTGTATAAGACGAACCACATCATCATGACCATGGGCTCAGACTTCCAGTACGAGAACGCCAACCTGTGGTACAAGAACCTGGACAAGCTGATCCGCTACGTGAACGCTGAGCAGGCGGACGGAGGGAAGGTCAACGTGCTTTACTCCACGCCGTCATGCTACCTGCAGGAGCTGCACCGAGCCAACCGCACCTGGTAACGTGCTCTTTAAATCTGCTTTTTGGAGTCGAAATGGTGGATTTATAACTGTGGAGGAAATTCTTAAGAGAAACTGATAAATGATTCAAGTTTGTCTTTTGTTATATTTAGTCAATATACATATAGTGACATCGATCCTTAATGCAGGAACAGAGCAGCTTCATCCTCAGAGGATAGAGAAGTTCTGCACCCCGAACACAGCTTACAGAAACACTATGTAGAGAGAAAAGCCAACTAGTCCCATCCTTAAATTCTCTTAAGGCCCGGACACACCAATCCGACACCAAAGAACACGTCCCGACGGACCCGACTGTTGTCGCCTCACGTCTCCGCGTCTTGGCCATGTGTCGCACTGGAACACACCGCAAAGACTTCAGCCGACGGCCAAGAAGCACGTACGAACTGTGCATGCGTGAGTGGCAATAACTCTCCTCACCAGCAGGCGGCGGTAGTGTGTATTCGTCATTCAAAAGAGGCAACCAGAAGACAGACTGCGTGATATGAACAAACAACAAATAGCGTGTGCGTTCCATTTTCACTCTACAGCTAGAAGCTCAGGGGGCTTTCCCGAACCTGTGTCGAGAGCTGGAGTTAAATGAAATCTCAGATTTGCCAAAGTCACGCCCATCTACTTCCGGTCCATGGGACCTTATTTCGGAAAAAAAAAATTATGTATTGAAGTCAATGGAGAGAGAAAACTTATCTTTCGATCCCGTTTGAATTGTGCCACGAATTACACATATGATGTTTGTCAAACTTAAAAAATAATTTCCATGTGAAAAAAGTCACAGTTTGTCGTAAAACTGTTGAAATATAAGATTATGAAAAATAGGCAACTAGAAAGACTACAAATCCCAGAGTCGCGTAAGTGATGTCACAACTGATGTCACAATTGTTTTCCTCCACTAAATAAGAGATAGCTAAGATAAGATAACTTTAACAAGATGCCTGTGTGCTTAGTATCAGGTTGTTATCATACCAGCAATGGGTCTTGCTCGTTCTTTCGCTTCCCGTCTGATGAAAGGACCAGGAGTGGCTGGATCAAGTTAGCTACCTAGCTAGTAGCAAGCACGTTAGTTAGCATTAAAGCCTTGTCCTTTTTATTAGCCATCAAGTAACCCAACATGTTAAACGGTAAGAGTAGTAGTCATATTTCGTGAACCCTTTGAAGAGTACTGTCACACCGGTGTGATCATTCTATAATACACAATTTAAGCCCGGGGGAGAAATGCTAACGCTAACACTATATTAGCATCCGCGATCTTTTGTACTTCATGCTATCTGCACTAATGGTTGACATTAAACATTAAAAACACCAGGCAGTTCAGAGAGAATCAAAGGAAGGCAGGCAGGTAGCTTTGCATGACATTCTTCTGGACGTGTTTCCTTGTGGTGATAGTGAGGGTAGTCAATCGTTTTGTTGACAAGACAGTAGTGACGGCCATCTTGGTGACGTGTGTTGTTGTGCGAGACCGGAGATGTAGTTCATTCAGCGTTTCACACAAACAAATGTGTTACTTCACAGTTTTACGACACCTTTTTATTTTTTTACTTGCAAAATTATCTTTTAAATTGACAAACATCATATGTGTAATTCGTGGCACAATTCAAACAGGATCGAAAGATAATCTTTCTCTCTCCATTCACTTCAATACATAATTTTTTCGAAATAAGGTCCCATGGAGGTCCACCGGAAGAGGAGGGACTTCGCCACTCTATAGTTTGTGTGGGTCCTTCCGTTTCGCTTCTCATGCACTGATTCGCTAGCTGAACAGCCAATCGGAGTGATTTATTTGACCGACAGCCTTTGGCCGATTGCCTACCGATTCGACATGTTGAATCGGTAGGCAATCGGCCGCAAAAGACACGACAGTGCGGGACACACCAATCTGAGTAGGACGTGTCGACGCTCATTGACGGCCAAAATCAGCTTGGTGTGTCCGGGGCTTTCCACATCATCTAAACATCCCACCATTAAACCCCCTCGTCCTTAACCATTTGCAAATCCACCTTTTACTTCCTTTACCATCCTGAAATGTAAATCCTTAACATATGACTCTGTTAAACACAAACACGAATACACAACAAATACAATTGAACAGAGTAAAAGGCAATCAGAGTATAAGACTATTATGTTTTAAGTGATTATCTGATCATTTGACACACGACAGAAACAATTGGAAGTGCAAGAATTGACTCACAAAGTTAGATAAAGACAAAAGAAAAGACATGAGTGAGATAAGTGATGGAAAATACATGCATGACCAAACGGGAAGTAAAAGTTGGAGCCTCAACACAGAGGGAAGAATCCAATAAATCTGAGTGTATGATCATTTCACACGACACTAACCATAATGACAGCTTAATTAAAGAGTGATCTCACGCCGTCTTTTCCCCCCAGGGCTCTGAAGACGGATGATTTCTTCCCGTACGCTGACGCCCCTCACGATTTCTGGACCGGATACTTCACCAGCCGCCCGGCGCTGAAACGATACGAGAGGATCAGCAACAGCAACCTGCAGGTAGAGAGGGGTTCATCCATTCATTTGTATTGAAAGTAAAAAGCAATATTAACGAATTCTCATTTTAAAAAGTTTCATTTAGACATCATGCAAATGTCTACATCTCCGAATGGTGAAAGTGAAGCTTAGAAAGCAAAATAACGACCTCAAAGTATTCGGAATAGAGCTTTACGATTACTTAAGGTTTCGTGCATTTAATAGAAGTTTTCACAAGAAGCACGAGCAGGAGGGTCTTGGTGAGTCGGACCCTTTATGTTCTGGTCGCTGTGCAGAACATACATTTAACAATAAATGGGATTACGGTATCTCTCATTATAGCTCAGGATCTGTACACAGTGGTGTCTTACATGTTGACATACAGTACATTATAAGTGTGTGTCTTTGTGTGTTTCAGACGTGTAACCAGCTGGAGGTGCTCGGGGGTCCGGACTCCAGGAAGGGCCCGTTTGGGGAGGGGGACAGCCAGACCCTGAGTGAGACCCTGTTTTATTACTTCTTACTGTGGGGGAAACTTCTGTAGCAATGGAGAGTCAGGACTCAGAGAGACACGAGGAGAGCTGGAGCTCTGATGGAGTCAGGACTCAGAGACACGAGGAGAGCTGGAGCTTTGATGGAGTCAGGACTCAGAGAGACACGAGGAGAGATGGAGCTTTGATGGAGTCAGGACTCAGAGAGACACGAGGAGAGATGGAGCTTTGATGGAGTCAGGACTCAGAGAGACACGAGGAGAGATGGAGCTTTGATGGAGTCAGGACTCAGAGAGACACGAGGAGAGATGGAGCTTTGATGGAGTCAGGACTAAGAGAGACACGAGGAGAGATGGAGCTTTGATGGAGTCAGGACTCAGAGAGACACGAGGAGAGCTGGAGCTTTGATGGAGTCAGGACTCAGAGAGACACGAGGAGAGATGGAGCTTTGATGGAGTCAGGACTCAGAGAGACACGAGGAGAGATGGAGCTTTGATGGAGTCAGGACTCAGAGAGACACGAGGAGAGCTGGAGCTCTGATGGAGTCAGGACTCAGAGAGACATGAGGAGAGCTGGAGCTTTGATGGAGTCAGACTCAGAGACACGAGGAGAGCTGGAGCTTTGATGGAGTCAGGACTCAGAGAGACATGAGGAGAGCTGGAGCTTTGATGGAGTCAGGACTCAGAGAGACACGAGGAGAGCTGGAGCTTTGATGGAGTCAGGACTCCGAGAGACACGAGGAGAGCTGGAGCTCTGATGGAGTCAGGACTCAGAGAGACACAAGGAGAGCTGGAGCTCTGATGGAGTCAGGACCAGAGACACGAGGAGAGCTGGAGCTTTGATGGAGTCAGGACTCAGAGAGACATGAGGAGAGATGGAGCTTTGATGGAGTCAGGACTCAGAGAGACACGAGGAGAGCTGGAGCTTTGATTGGAGTCAGGACTCAGAGAGACACGAGGAGAGCTGGAGCTTTGATGAGTCAGGACTCAGAGAGACACGAGGAGAGCTGGAGCTTTGATGGAGTCAGGACTCAGAGAGACACGAGGAGAGCTGGAGCTTTGATGGCAAACACTGACGGTTTATTTGGAGTTACCGCCGGAGAATTGACAGTGGTGTGTCACGAGTTGACACAGCGGTTGCCAAACCAATTCTGAAGAACTCTTCTGCAGCTCGAGGTTTTAACTAGTTCAGAGTGTAATAATCAACATTCCTCATCAGTGAGACTAAAGCAATATGGACCCTGAATCTAACTAGAGCTCTCGTCCATAGGAAAGAATGTGCGCCAGGGAACCTTCGTCCCTGAACAGTAAACTACCTCATGGTGGCTTGTGCTCGGTCATAGACTGGCAACAACAATGCTGCCCCCCAAGATATCCAAGCTCCCCCCTTAAGAGAGATAGCAGCAATACCCAAGCTCCTCCCCCTTAAGAGAGATAGCCCAGCAATATCAAGCTCCTCCCCCTTAAGAGGAGCTTGATAGCAG